CGAGAAGATGGCTCGCTGAGGAAGATCTGGCTCGACAGGAAGGCGAAGACGCAACGTCGAGGCGAACAACAAGCATGGACCATCGACTCGGATCACCGGCTCTGAGGAAGACGAAGACGTCGAAACGTTAGCCGAAAATAAATATATTTATCAACCTCGTGCAAGCTTATCAAGAAAGAATACATATTGATTTGTCACACCGAGGTTTAGGGAAGGTCGGTTTCGAAATGTTCCTCGTTAGTGTTTCACAGTCGGCGCAGATTTTTTAAGGAGTGATAATAACAATTATATAGAGTTCAGAAAATTCTTTTGTTCAACATGTTTTGAATTTTTGAGCTTACATGAAGTTGGTAAACAACTTTTATTTGGTTAAGGTTCCGACGTCTTCGTCTTCATTACAACCGATGATCCGAGTCGATGGCCCAAGTTGTTCTTCTCGTCGATGTGGCGTCTTCGTAATCGCACCGAAACGGATCTTCTGCTCGGTGGAACAGCGCATAAATGAGGCATGCTCACCCGGCAGCGCTCTTTTATACAAGGTGGTTGTTGTTGATTCGTTGGTCTCGGCTCAGGTCATTGGCTCTAATAACCGATAAGCACAAATAATGTGACTGATCAATAGTTATTTAATTAATCTAGGTTCTACTATAGATGCACTTCCATGGTTTTTTCTTTTAGTGAATGAGATTCTTGCAAAGAAATCGAACTTTAGACAATCTTATCGTGTTCTTATAGTGTAGTGGTGTCATTGCCTTCTTGCCCACTTTGCCATGTAACCGCCATCTGATAAGTTAATTTGAACGTTGAGGAATGGAAGCCACTTTTCACTCGGTTTCTCCCTGGTGAATTGCATGTACTCAGACTGCTCATTCAACAATCCAAAGCATTTGTCCATCTCTTCCTGAATACAGAAGCTGACAAAATAGTCATCTATATATCTGCAGTAGAGTAGCGACCGGAAATCGATAACGGGATCTATTTTAGAGACAAACGGGATGGCGAGAGTTAGTGCTAACCGCTGTCCCATTGCCAACCCTCTAATTTGCGCGTAATAGTTCCCAGACCATCTGAAAATCGAGCAGCTCAGGCACTCTTTTAAGAGAACCGTAAGCTGCTGAATAGACAAGCCATATATATTTATTCTATCTTCATCTTTAACAAGTAGTTCGTGGATGGCACGCACTGCGGAGTCATTCGATACGTTGGTGTAAAGCGCGGAGACAGAGGACTCTATCACGTACGCATTGTTAGGAGATGCGTTATATAGACATTCTAGGAACATTTGGGTGTTCGTGAGGTGAGCTGGAATATGGCTAAGCAGTTGGGTAAGTACTTCGCCTAGGAACCATGTTATTCTATCCGTTGACCCGTCTACACAACTGATAATGGGTCTAACCTAGTAGGATAATGGATTGGTAGGCGCGAGATCATCGGCTGGTACTAACTTATGTGTTTTGATAGGTAAATATTAAACGGGACGGATAGCATAATGGTAGTGAGGTCCGTCACCATGAGCATGGCGCTAGTTCAATTCTGATCCGGGCCAACTAAGCCTCTCATCCCTCAGGGGTCGGGAAATTGGTACCGGACTTCGCTGGGAAAAATTGCTCTCTGCTGTCCAATTGACAACGCTCCAGCCTGGCTATCTCAGGACTCCAGGGAGAATTGCTCGACCAGCATTCTACAACATTCAAGATGAAATGAAAATCGTCAAGCAGCAACGAAAGCCACACGTAAAAACTTGGAAGACCTTCATGGACGACGGACGCGAGGAAACGAATTGGATGTGAGAAGTACTGGGTTCCGTACAGTAGATGTGAAGACGAATCAAATAAAATTAAAAGAAAGCGAGACATGATGGTCGATCTATTTTTTATGGTTTTAAGCGCCGCCTTTGCCAATTTGACCCATTCGTTGTTAAGTTTTCAGTATCGTGTTTTGTACTTCCTTTCAGAAGATGTGCGTTAAAGGGTAACATTACTAAGATGTTCCTCCGTCATCTTAACATATACCTCGCGAGGAATAACTACGAACTCTCCCTCTTTATCACTAACTGGTAGTCTAATGCCCTGTGGATTTATTAATTCTCTAATTCCTCGCATATCCCATTTTTGTACTGTTGTGAAGTTCGGGATATACTTTCTATCAAGACAGTGAACAAGGGTTTTGAGAACATCATGGAATAAAACATGCAGGATTTTGCATCGATTTCAACGTTGGGGTCCTGCTGTCTGAAGAACGCTCAAGGAAAAGGAGATGGTGGTAATAGCGCCGTTTCTTTTTCATATCTGTTTAATACTTCTTATTGAACTGCGAAAGAAATTCTTGGCAAGCAATTATGTAAATAGCTCTAACCTTGTGAACAAAAATTTCACTGGCATCAAAGCAGTTAAGGATACCCATTCTGGTTTAATGATGAGCCAAGTAGAATTAAGTAGAGCACAAATACCTAGACGGAAAAAACAAGCTGAGATCAAAATTTATAAATATGTGTAGTTTCAAATGAATGATTTTGAACACCTAAAACTGTTGAGGATGGCTGTAGTACAGTACAAACGATACCATAGCGATCCTTTTAAAGGCATCTTACGTACCTGTTTCTTGATCTAGTTGTAATATAAAGCTAAAAAACGATAAAGATCTCTGCGTTCATCAATCCCTGAGAGATGCGTCAAGTATTCGACTTCATTAGAGGTAATTGAAGGCCTATACACTGATTCGGGGTAGCATACCGATGTATCGAATCAGTGCTACGATCCTCCCAGGCCGGTCTGCTACCAACCAATTTGCTAACCTCGGAGGAATGGAAGACATAACAGATGTGGGACGGAACCCGTGTGTATCGCAAGGCCTCTCTAACAACTAGGTTACACGAACCCTACGCCGAATTGTAAAACACGAAAAAAATTATGAATTTTGTTTTCAAATGCAAGAAATTTTTTTGTACTATGGTTACTGATTAGTCACAAACAAATGCCTTTCGTACACCTAGTGTGGACATCATAAAGACGATGATCACTCTGTGGTAGCCCACAAAAGGAGCACATTACTTTACATTTTTGGAGACGACAGCTCACAAACAACAAAGAAATAAGCTGGGTGATTTCCACTATGTTGATCACAAATGTTGGAAGCACACGTTCACGTTCTCTAAGATCTTCTAGCAATATTGTAAGATATTCCACGAGGTCTCAGACGGACATTGTACGGTTAGAATTTCTTACTTGACGCGTTTCTTGGTTTCATTTCTATTAATGTCGATGGTCGAATGGTCGACACTAATACTACCCTGATATGTCGACATGGACGTCATTAAGATTACAGACTTTCTATGATCACTTACAGTATCGCGATTTACTGTAAATGTCAAAGTACTAAATTTAGACCATGAAACGATCAATTATTCAAAACTCGTAGGAAAGTTTGTCACTTCGAGTTCTGAAAGTTTAACGTATACGCAACTGCGCTTGTAAAATTCATCCGAAAGAAGGCTCTTCTTAAATTGTTGAGTGTAGAGAGTAGTTTTGCAAGTGCCAAGCCTGGTTGAACATCTGTAATAAGCAAACGAAGAAATGAATACAGAAATTGCAGAAAGTAAACTCTTCGCAAGAAACAAACACTGGAAACACTACGCATCGAATTGAATGCATGTGGTCACTGATGTGTTACACGCGACCGACATTAGGTATATGTCCACTCGGAGTGCTGGTGTTCATAGAGAATTCCTTAACAAATCGTTATCACGGTGTTTGGTATTGGCTTATCAACACGTATTTAAAAGCAAATCCCAAGAATGGGTTTCAGTTGCTTCTCATCGAGTACGTTGTTTCCTGTATGGCAAAACCTGATAGGTATAACTTCAGTTTGTTAGAAGTACCGTATTCTCAGAGTTGTTTATTCATAACCAAATATTTCAGTGGCAAAGAAGAGAAGGAACGAAGAAGGGGTAAGATCTCATTGCTCTATGCGAACTGTGCTTATATTCTTGCTAAAATGGCCGGAGTATGGGGCCGTGGGTTCCAAAATGTTTTTCGTGCCTCTCAGAGCTCATCAAACAGCGTTGGTTCACTGTAAGGAGAAATAAATGTTGGGAGTACCGATGATGGCTCGAATAAGTCAAAAACTAAAGAGCTTACATATCTCACGTGGCTATCCCCATTATACTTTAAAAATCCACGCTATCAAGAAAACAGATCATTGCTTTCTCGCCATGCTGCCGTTGTGTGCTGACCTCTTATAAAAATAGGTTTTGAGTCGCCGATTCTTTTTCTATTTTTGTTCAACAGGACCAATACCGACTTCGGCCGTTTTTCCTAATGTGCTCTCGATTACTCATTGTATGATTATACAAGTTTCTGGAACTCGCTGAACTGAAAATGGACACTGTTTTATTCATAACGTTCCCTGGGGTCATGGATGCGTGAACGCCATGGTATTCAGACAAGGCGTTTGGGTTAAACGAACACTATGAATCGATCAGATTTACTTCTCCTACTTTTGTTTAAATACTTTATAATACAATAAAAATAAGCAAAATTGTTACCATCGGCACCATCGAATACGACTTTTTAATTGACATTTCATCATCTAGATGGATGGTTAGAGTTGTAATGGTTGACACCCCATCTTCTCTAGACTGTACACTACAATGATGTAGTGGAAAGTAAAATAATTCGATCTATTGGGACGAAAACACAGTAAACAAGAAAGACTACAAAGTGTGAATTTTCTGGACGATATCGCCACGGTTGTGAGGAGTACCAGCGAAACAGGGAAGATGCGCAACGAGCTTGACTAACGTAGAAGAAGACTCGTACTGCGCATAGATCATTATCATTAGAATGTCCATGTTGTGGAAAAGCCACAATGTGGTGGCGAGCGAATGAAACTGGATAGTTCTCCGATTACAAAGACTAGGTGGTACCCAGTGCTCTCCATGAGCATGGAGAACAACGTCAAGAAGGAACTGTTTAGAATAAGGGCGAACACTTCTCCCACGTTGAAAATTATTTGTTCCAGTTACGGAGTACCTGAACGATGCCATCCTTAATATAATCGGTGCAGAGAATACTAATGCTGACTTGGCAGAAGACACCTTGCCTTGATCCCGACATCGAAATGCGAAGGATTAAACTTCGAAAACAGAACTAAGATGGAGATGGCACACTTTTGTAATTGTAAGATTCGGCGATAAATTGAGGTCAAGAACAGTGCAGTGAAGAACACGACCAGCTCGATGATTAGTGGACAGTTTTTGGCTCACATCAAATTCGCTGCAATGGCAGATGGCTTACAGATAGCAGGAAAGATGTTCGTACATGTTGTAATCGGCGAAGAAAGCTACGATCAGAAGCGACATCCTGTAATGGAGAATGGAAAAGTTTAGAAAATGTGCTAACGGACACTGATCGTGACCACTAGTATGCACTAAAATATGAAGTGCCACAGGAATGAGCAACTTCTTGACATGAATTTTTGTAAAATGCACCATCATCGAGAATAAATAAATTGTCATGAAGTATTACGGGATCGCCGTGATGTTCCTTTATCTCACATTTGTGGACGGACGTTTGGATTAGGTCTTCCACTTCAAACAACAGGAGACTTGTTAAGAAATAAGTTAATACTTTTCGCTAACTTAGCAGAAACATTTTTATGAGGTCTTATGTACCTGTACTACTTCTAATGCGACATTAACGACCAAGTGGATTGAGAGGAAGTTACTGAGATCTCCATCCCATGTCTCTTGTCATATGTGAGCCCCTATGACGAGTACGACGAGTTCGCACTTTTTGTATGAAGCATTTTATTTTTGCTATCCTTGAAAAGAAAGTAACCTTTGACAGCGATATCAGTGCCTATTGCAATTCTTCATGGCAGGGTACTACGTGTGATACAACCACAATGATGCTGAGATATTTGCAAAACTCCGTACCGCAGGTGTCTGCGATGGGAAACGAACACACTATTACCCTTTCCGGGGATACACGTTCACCACCACATCATACGGGTCCTTCGTTTCGCCTGTCTCCCAGCTAGTTCTATCGAACAACTCCATCAGCATCCGCCAACGGGATTGATATCACAGCATCATTGTGATTGTATCACACGTGATACCCTGCCATGAAAAATTGTAATAAGCCGTAAATAAAAAAAGATGCCACTATTTGGTGGTTTTGTTATAATGGAAACAATAAAAACAAAAGTTTGCCGAATAAAGGTTGTATAAAACCTCGCGTGTGCTGAAGAGTTTAAAGAAATTGATTATTCACGCCGAGGTTAAGTGAAAGTCGGCTTGGTACAATAAAATGAATTTAGTTTTCGATAAAACTGCCTTAGTTTGTAATGATATGTTGTTATTTTGACACTTTCGGACAATGCGCATTGAAATGCTGAGATATTTGCAAAACTCCGGACCACAGGTGTATGCAGTGGGGAACGAACACGCGCGAACGGTAAGGACAACAGCGCGTGTTCGTTCCCCACTGCATACACCTGTGGTCCGGAGTTTTGCAAATATCTCAGCATTTCATACGAGTTATATTTCGCAACATACCCTGCCATTAAGAAGAAAAAGACAGTAAATAAAAGAGTTAAGAATGCGCATTGATTTCAGTGCGTATCTAGACGAGTATTGAGGCATTTGTGTAACGAACTTAAAACGAATCAACGCGATTCAGAACCCTACGCATTGAAAAATGGTAAAAAAAGTACAAAGAACAAGAACCCAGAATAGAACGTAAATGAGGGAACGATATTAGTAGGCGATGTCAAATAATGAACATTATCTGGCATGAGAACGATATGAACATGAAATTGTTAGATGTAATTAGTATCATTTTTGTTAGCCGCCACTTTTAGCTCGTGATCGATCGGATAGAACACACTCGAGTAAGGAAAGTAACAGGTCACGGTCACAATCATACAAAAGCAAACGAAATGCTACCGATTCCGACAGAGTCAGCTACTATTCTATTTTATAGACCACCAAAAAAATCTATGAGAGCGTGAATCGCAATGGTCGCAGATATCTTGAAATACATAGATAGATACATGCATATTAGATGTTTGGTTCAATTCCGCGCCGCGAGATAACGAAGTCTTCCATCATTCTAGGGTCTGGTAAATGCTAGCAAGCTTGTCTCGGAAGTTTTAAATACTGCGTGCTAGACTACGGAAAATCATTGAGCAGGCCAAACATGCACCGAATAACGTTTAGCGGGCTAATAATGGAGTTGAATGCATGGTCCATTCTTAAGGGACTGATGGACGTCGATCGCTTTATCCTTGTTACTCTTTTGTTATATAAATGAGGTGACATAAGCAATGGGAGGCGTTTACAAGTATGAACGACTATGAAATAATAGGCGTTCCACTATGTTCGTCAACTTTTTGTCTTGTTATCTATAATCCAACAGTGATAACCTTTCTAACAGTTTACCACTTGATCGTGTCTGGGAGGTGTTCTTGGGTTTCGGGCTATGATGTACAGCAGGGGGATCTTCTCCTCGGTAGGGTTTCCCAAGCTGAGAAGGAAACCAACGTTTCCAATCAGGAAGCCCAGCTGAGAGTAAACCAATACCAGGATCCACCACCGTCCTGGTATCAAACTAGTCGCGCGGTTGCAAATCTCCCTCTGATCCACAGGGGCTGTAAATGCCTGTGGTGGTGACGACTTGGGCAAACTTTGCCCAAGTTGACCGAGGTACTCCAGAGAAACAATGGCTAAACCAGCAAAACTCCGAAAAGTGGAGATTATGCTAGGACTCGTACAACCGGTGAGGACGGGCAATGCGAGTATTCATATAAGTAACAGTAATAATTATGCTGGTAATGACGAAATACGTTCATGAGCTTGACACATGGCAACAGAGCCCGTCAATATCATAAACTCCGCAATTTCCTCTGCGATCTACATAAGGGATAGTAATACGCACTATCGAGTTCACCAGTGTTTTATGTGAATTACTTCGTAATCTGCTAAATATTGCAGAAAACCATCAAGCTCGTGCACAAAAAAGGACATCGAAATGTGAAAATAGCGGATTTCGTTGCTGTATCAGAACTTATCAAGCAGGTTGGGAGTGTCATGCACAAGCGAATGGCTACTGTTCCTTAAAACTATTGTGTGGCAGTTGATTTACATTTACCAATGCTCTTGTTCGTTATTGGTCACCACTGAGTGCACCAGGTGCACCAGTAGAGAAGCCAGTCACGCAAGTAGGCTGGGACACACGGACTAGCGGCCAATAACGAGAGAGTAATCCTAGCACGCGTACAACTAACGGTTCGTTACCGGAAATTCTTGATTAACTACAGCACCAAATCACTGGACGTGTCCCTCGCTCAGTTGATCTCACGGACTATTTTGACGTGACGATTATGGTATTTGCCGACTACATAGAAAAAGGTGAAGTCAAGGTATGACTTGGCAAAGACCTCGTGACATATCCGACCTCGTCACAACTTTCTGCTAAAATAGTGGAATTTTAAGGCTCAAATATCATTTTATGCATTGGCAGAACTTCTTAAGCTCACGAAGACGTTCATCATGGAGGATTTACAAAAACGTCTTGAAGAGGTGATTTTTGAACATATCTTCTAGCACTTGTTACACCACTCGCTTAGCTCTTTTGTTACATTAGGATTTATCTATAAGTTCGGCGTTCAAATTTTTCTTTAGCTTGGTGTCTATTAGATACTAGATTTTATCGCGTTAGCCTAAACAATAGAACTGGCCTCTTACCTCGCGTGATTTCTTTGAAATTCTGTAAATAATGGGATTGAGAAAGTTCTTGAAAAATAGAGAAAAATTTGCGTGTTTCGTCTCACAGAAAAAGAAGAACTGAGAAGAGATGAATTATATCGCTCTAGATCCTTATATTAACGGCTGAGTCATCTACAAATCACCTTCTTCAAGCGGTGCTTGTAGCTGGAACGTCGAATATCACAAAAGAGGTGGGCCTAATTACAGCTAAAATCTTATTACCATAGTGCTGACCGGATTTCCCATAACTAACAGTTTTTGATAACTAAGAGAAAGTCACAATGTTCCACTTTTTATTTTCTGCTTACTACAATTTTCACGGCAGGGTACTAAGCGAAATACAACCACAATGTTGCTGAGATATCTGCAAAACTATGGACCGCTGGTGGTGGTGGGGAACGAACGCGCTATTGTCCTTTCCGGGAGTAATGCGTTCACCACCATTGTGATTAACTGGGTTCAATGCCAATATGGGCCCCAGATCAATCCCGTTGATGGGTGATTGCTGATGGCGATGATCGATAGAACTAGCTGAGGGACAGGCGATAACAGAAAGTCAGGGAAAGGCAGGTATGGGAATATAGTGATGCCGACGAAATTGCTCATCACAGTGACTGGGTGCAGCGGCCAATCGCACGGGGGTGGGCAGTCATGTAGGTCTATCCCGAATTATCTTTTATTTCTACTCTGCCGAATTTCACATCTTTGTTCTTGATAGACAGAAGATGCGCTACACTATCTGGCCTCATGGAGTTTTGTCGAAATGGCCAGGCTACCGGATTTTCAATGTATTCCTTACCATCAGTTCGTCATGTTACTCGCCAGGTCGTGTTTTTTCTTTTCGCACACTTAGGTAGTGCAAACTATTAAATTGTTCTGCCAAATAAATTAATGAATAAGTTCCTATCAAAAACTGCAAGATCGTTGAAAAAATAAAGTAAGAAAAAAAATTAAACGTGAAAACAACTCAACGAGCAAAAATATATGACAGAATATTAACAAAAAAAATAAGCCACTAAATTCATCATACTCAGCTGTGAACTTCAAGTTTCACATGAGCTGGTCGTTGCTGATGCAGCACTGTTGTGGCTGGTTGGACAACCGCATCCAGCAGTTTATGCACCAGGAGTGTTCGCCGTCGTGAGTTAAACGAAAGTGTGGGCTAGTTGCCCGGTTTCTATCTTCGACTAACAATTATTGAACGATTCAGATTCGATCCGCCTTTCTCAGCAAAGCTGATCGTCAGCTAATCATCGAACGTATTGCTACACTTCAGATGCCTGAATCGGTAAAATTAGCCACGATTTTTTCCACCCTATTTCTATGTATGATTTGCTTGGCGTATTTCATGGATCAACGTATTTGGACCTTCAAGAGAAGACAGAATTGTACTTTTTGATGCAAAATTTTTGGTCGTTGTTGACTAGTTAACTTTTTGCCTTCCACCTATTACAGTTCTTTACGGTAAGGCGGTATGTGAAATACAACCACGATGGTGCTGAGATATTTGCAAAACTCAGAACCGCAAGTGTCTGCGGAGGGGAACAAGCGCGCTGCTAACCTTTCCGTGAACTAACTCGTTCACCAGTACGCCATGCGGGTACTTCGTTTTATTTTCCGGAGTTTCGCGAATATCTGAGCATCATAGTAGTTGTATTTCACATAATAACCTACTATGAAAAATTGTAGTAGGCAAGAAATAAAAAGTTAGCATTATGATCTCGACCACAGCCTCAACTTAACTGGGTTCAATGCTGATTTGTGCTTCATAGATCAATCCAGGTTATGCAGTTTAAGGGTATTTGCTGATGGCACTGGTAGAAAAAAAGCTGGCTGAGAGAAAGGGGAAACGAAGGATACGCATGGTGTAATGGTGAATGCGTTAGCCACCGGAAAGGGTAATAACGTGTTCGATCCCCACCGCAGACAACTGCGGTCTGGAGTTTTGCAAATATCTTAGCATGATTGTGGCTGTTAACTAGGCTTCAGTACTGGTCCTTCTCCTGATCAGTGATTAAGGCACGTTGTTATTAGCCGATATGTTTGATCTTCGCCACTTTTTCTGTTCGTTTACCTCGGGTATCTATTCGAGATTTTAACAGCTTGTGTAAGAAATCACTTTCTAGGGTTGCTTATTGTTGAAAGTGTTGCTTCTAGCGTGTTGCTTCTAGCTGGAGACGAGTTACCTCGCTACAGGTTGGTCGTTTCGCTCGTGTTTCAATGGACTCACGTCACAATGCTCGAGTCTGTCTCGAAGGAACACATATTAGTCGCCATCTCTGCCGATGCGGAACCCCTGACCCTGAGAAGCGTCCGAAAGAGACGACGTTGCCGCTGAGCCGGCCGCGCGAAGGGATTAAATGGAGCGAAAAGAGTGAGTCGCACTGTCTCATGATTTATGCTCCAGTCAACTAAAATTTCAACTTTCGAGAGTAGTTATCATCTAGGACAAGAAAGATAATGTAAATTAGAGGATACTGTATCGCCGTTAAAATGAAAATCATTCTTCAGCGTAATAAATGAAGTAATCGATTAAATCGCTCCAAAAATCGATCAGTATTTTCTATGTGACATGAGCGTTGCTCACATGTGACTTGTATGTGTAAAGATGTTTCCAATTAAGATTGAGGTCAGTAATATAGAAGTAAAAGATATAACTACCTAACAACAAATGCGCAGAAGAATGTGCTAAAATATTCATCACAACATGACGTTAAGATATCGAAGAGCCAAAAAAACACAGGAGTTCGAAGAAATCTCGTCGGATGAGAAGCAAGAAGGTCGAGTTTGCTCAGTTATAATATTGATTGATTTTTGCAACTGACAGTTCAATACAAAAGTTAATTTAGCTATATTTGTATCTATTTTAGCGACTTAGCAAAAGTTGTAGTAAGAAAACGAGGAACAGAAATGTAAGTCGAAAACAGAGCGAGACCAAATCATCGAGAACTAATTCACCAAGGAGATGGTAGGTATACAAAACGAAGGAATATTGAAAGAAATAATAATGACATTACTAAAACAACAACACTTACTTGCTTATTTGGATACTTGGATGGCTCGTCTTCACTGGTTGTGCGGGCCCCAACATGATCTCCATTATTTCGAAGTTTTGCTGGTCTAGCAATTGTGGTTCGCTGGAGTCCCGAGGTCAGCCAGGCCAAAGTCTGCCTCAGGTCGTCACGACCAAAGGCTTTTGATACCAGGACGGCGACGGATCCTGGTAGTGGAATACAACAGTAAGAGAGTGATAATATCAAAAAGCTCTTACTGCATACGTAGAAATGGCAACCATGAATGGAATGTACTCGCTTACCAACTCTAACAAGAACACCATATTACCTCACACATATACGCCCAAACACAGACACAGACACATTTTCTAATTATTTTACCCATGATAGATTTTGGATGGGAATATTGTCCATATCTCTTCTTGGGTGAATGTATCGGTGAAAGAGCCGTCCTCTACACATTTGAGATTCTTTCTGTTACTTTTTATGTCGCACAAAACAAGGCCTCTGAGGTGTTTTCGACATATTCATATTTCCACAAACAATCAATATCAATATGAAGTAGATCTCTTACCATGTTCAAGACAACTCGTTTTTGTTTCAGCACGCAATCAGACGATGAGATCGCGTCCGGAAAAAGTCAAAGACGCAGAAAAGCGGATGGAAGGACTAGTCGAACAAGCGAGAGTACCAGGAGCAGAAGCAAGAAAGGATACGAAGGCGATTTTGACTCATCTCGGCGAAAGAAGCGCAATCAAGTCACCACGTCGGATGACAAGAGCAGACGACGCAGGAAGATCGATGCTGGAGGCAAAATCCCAAGGTGGGCAGTCGCACTATTTGGGATATTAAATAAAAGACAAATAAAAGAATCTGGGAAGTTACTTGGTACTGCAGCATTACTAAGTATTCAGCGCTACCTAATTATGCATCCGACAGTTGAAATTCCTGCATATTTTCCTAGTTTTAATTCATAAAGTGAATACGGTCACATCTCTACTTGTTCTGTCCATGCGTCTATCCCAGCTGGGTCATATTCTTATTGGTCAGGCCTGCCAAGCCGGGCAAGAGCGGTTCTCGGTGGAATTATAAGTATCAGTTGTGTATTTGTGGCTCGTATTGATTAGACAATCGAGGAAATCGATGTACATCGTTTCTACATCCAGCTACGGTCGTCGGTTGTTGTCATTCATGAGGTTCACTGTAACATCCCAGCGCATATGTCTAAATGCACTCATGTTTTCAATGACGACATTAAACAACGATTTTATCGCCCAAAGGCTCATAAAGACTCTTAAGGCTATAATTACTCACGCACAAGCATTGGGTGTAAGTCTGTTTTCAAGTTACGCGGTTTATCTCTATCTCTTTATTAGAGAGAAAAGAAACACAAACACAACTTTAAGAAAAGAACAGCAATGTACAAAGAATAATTTCCACAATTCTTATAAGCGTTTCAAGTTTTTGGAGGGGCATCCTTTGATTTATCGGAACCTTTAGCGCGTAATGCCATGGTATTTTGTTCTCTCACGTTTCACATTCCCTCCTGATCATTATTGGCATATCACATCGTCTCGCGAATTTTCGCTTTCTCCTTTATCCTTCAAAGATTTCTCTATCATATCTGCTAAAAAACGAGGAAGGAAATAAAGCTTGAAAGTAAGACTTGCTACCCTAAACCAGTGATTTTGTCAAGATCTGCACCCTCAGTGTTAACATAGCAAAGTATCCTCCTTTTAGTGGGCCTTAATGAAAAGTTAACGGTGTTAACTGGATGAATTGTGTTAGCCCAAGTATAGGAGATCAGATCGCATTGAATAAATAAAACTAATATCCAGTAAAAGGGGATGCATAGCACAGTAGTAGTTATGTCAATCATCACGAGCACGGCGCTAGTTCGATTCCGCTCCGGGCCAACCGAGCCCCTGGTCCCATCGGGGTCGGGACATTGGTACTGGATCCCAGGATCGACTTTCTATTAACCTCGGCATTAGAAATATGAATGCATCGTTTTCTTGTTCAGTAAACGCGAGGTTGTTATACAGCATACATTTACTTCCATAGAAAAACAGTACAATACAACACAACATCAGCTGACGTTTCGGCAATATGCCTTCTTCAGAGCCACTTCATTCGTGACTTCCAATGAGGAAGATTGGAACAGCTGATTATAGTTGCATCTGCGATCTGTTCTAATCTTCCTCATTAGAAGTAACGAAAAAAGCGGCTCTGAAGAAGGCGATACTCCCGAAACGTCAGCTACTGTTGTGTTGTATTGTATTGTGTTTTTCTATGGAAGTAAATGCATGCTGCGTAACAACCTCACGTTTACTGAACAAGAAAACGACGCATTGGTACCGGACTTGTCTGGGGGAAAAACCACTCTCTGAAATCCAATTGGGAACGCTCCAGCTATCTCAGGACTCCAGGGAGAGTCGAATCGACCAGCATTCTACGGCATTCAAGATGGAATGAGAATCCTCAAGCAGCACCTGAAGCCACACGTAAAAGCTGGAAGATATTTGTGAACAGTGGATGCGAGGAAAGTAATCGAATGTGGGAAGTGCTGGGGTCCACACCATAGACGAGAAGAAGGGTCATATAAAATAAATTATTCAGTAAGATATATTAATTCAAACATTTGTTCCCTATCCTTTATAGAGTGACTGAACAACTCGTTGCCAATTCATCAACTAATTGAGACGAAGGAAAACACTCAGCAATCGTATTTTGTATTTCTAGGAGGAAATCACGTTCTGAGAGCTTCACTTCCACCACGAGCAAGCGATAACGAGAAAAGAATATGCTGCCTCGATTTCATCGCTGACCTTGTCATTGTGTTCGGACGATTTTTGATGAAGTAAAGTAGTACTTTGGTCCAGTAAAGCCTTTGACCTTCCCTGTGAATTATGCAGCATTTTGTATTCCTATTCACTAATTTCCATCAATCTCATCGGATCGCATGCATAAATACAGCATCCAATGAACAGTTGTACTGATAGAGTTGCAGAAAAATGGGGCTAAAACTCTGGTGACTGAAATCTGATTGCCAAATGATTATAAATAACTGGTCTTTAGTGAACTCCGTTTGGAAACATGAAAATGATAAAATGTGCCCAGAAGACCAAACGAGAACGGATTGTCCTGGATGTGGCATTGTTTGACCACATTCCTATGTATACCTCTGACATTCGGTGTTTATGAATAACGACATTCTAGAACGCCGAAAACAGTGAGCATTAGTTCCCAGGATCGACTTTCTCTTAACCTCGGCATTGGAATATGAATGTGTCGTTTTCTTGTTCAGCAATCGCGAGGTTTTTAAACAGCATACATTTACTTCCATAAAAACACAATACAATACAACGCTAGCTGACGTTTCGGCAGTATCGCCTTCTTCAGAGCCTGGAAGGGCATACTGTTATACAATCTACTAGGCCAAACGCTTCAATAACACTTACACAAAGACGAAAGACTGTTTGGTAACTACACGATCAACAACTTCTCGAAAAACCCACCGCTTTTTCGTGACTTCCAATGAGGAAGTTTAGAACAGCTGATTATAGTCGCATGTGGTTGACGACTGTGGTTCACGAAAAAGCGGTGGGTTTTTCGAGAAGTTGTTGATCGTGTANTACACGATCAACAACTTCTCGAAAAACCCACCGCTTTTTCGTGAACCACAGTCGTCAACCACATGCGACTATAATCAGCTGTTCTAAACTTCCTCATTGGAAGTCACGAAAAAGCGGTGGGTTTTTCGAGAAGTTGTTGATCGTGTAATTACCAAAGAGTTTTTCGTCTTTGTGTAAGTGTTATTGAAGCGTTTGGCCTACTTTTCGAGAAGTTGTTGATCGTGTAATTACCAAAGAGTTTTTCGTCTTTGTGTAAGTGTTATTGAAGCGTTTGGCCTAGTAGATTGTATAACAGTATGCCCTTCCAGGCTCTGAAGTGAGCATTAGCTTTCACAATGACGCCCCTAGTAGAAGACAATAACAATGATACCGACCAATGTGACCACTAATTTGACAAAACAGTTTTGCATTTCAGTGGTATGCAGCAGGAACTAGAGCTGTTATTTCAACTTTGTCGAAGAAAGCCCGTACGTATATATATATATATATATATATATATATATATATATGCGTATATATATGCATGTATATAGGACAGTTAAATGTGACTCCTCAAGGCGAAGCGGTCTACTGAACACAAAGGCTGTTCGTAAAGTTCGCATCTTTAATGAATATTCTATCTGCCAGACACGTGAGAATACGTTCCTAGAAATGATTTCCACGTACACTAGATAGATGTCAATCTGCTGGAAGCGATTACTTTCCAGCCTAATGATCTCCAGCTAATTAAATGCAAGGTCTTAACAGAAGGTACAGCCATCACATATGCGAACACATCTACCCTAGTACGCAAAGCAGTGATCATGTAAATCAAGGATAAAGGATAAATAGATCGGCGTTGGCTAGTCGTTTCGGGCCTGCATCATGCACTCAACTCCATCAAACATTGCTGAGATGATTGAATACATTTCTGGCCTATGTTATGGCTTAAGAGTGCTACCGATCAACCATACAACCGCTCTTATCCTCTCGCACATAACTGGTATCAGTTCGTAACTCCGGAGTGATGGAGGACATGGAGGCTGATATTTGTCAAAGTGGCACGGTAGCAGGATCGATCACATGTGCATCTCAATGCACCTCGAAATAGTGTATTACACAAGCCCGCCACGAAATTGTGCGTAAGAAAAACAGGTTTGCTACCTCGAAATGTGTTACGTAGCTTCACAACTGATTGGCTATAGGTTACTCAAATCGGGGAGATGGGATGGGCGAGACTTTCCAACTGCTTCTCGCAAGCACAAGATGCTGTTGCCACTACTTAAGTTACTAATGTCAATCGTCACTGACTCATAATCATATCGATATATGACCTTACAAGTATCGAAATCACAATGTATACAACTGATTTCCAAATGTTCTTGCATTCGTTATTTGAAATCTCACGACGTGAAATCAAGCAACAAATATAAAGCTTCTTGATATAAGGTATAACATGCCTGCGCTAAATGTTACGGTAACAAATTATTGGAAAAACTGCACACCATTGAGCTGCAGAAAACAGTAACTTAATGAAAGCAAAGGAACAGGGAAACCAGTTGTTTGCGGTACTGAATTTTTCTGTCGCACACCGCTCTAATGCTGCGTGCAGAACGATGGTTACAGCTGTTATGCAATACATTAGGAATCGGTCCTTGATTCGATCGCGCTTTCAGGAATCGCTAAGGCCTTCATCTATTCGGGGTTGACAAATTAGTGCTAAACTTATCTGGGGGATAGGAACACTGACTTATCATACCGGTAGGCAGTAGTAAGTTGTAGTATAGACCAGATACGCATTCAGTCACTTCACGTTATTTGAAGTCTAGTGCAAGATGGATTCCTAAGGAACTTATCAATGTCAGACGATTTTGCACAACGGCCCGATATTTTGTCAATCATTAAAGAGTGACCTAGCATACTGTGCCCTATAAACTACTTTTCCGAGAACGCGGCTGCTTTTACATTAGACAATTTATCGGCGGGCCTTACTAAATTTTAACCGTCTCCACATTTTGAGGTAATCACTGAAGAGGTTGTGAACAGCCAAAGAGCTCGAATGAGTGCTCTTTACGAGTCGCGGAGACCTTTTTAGGATTAGAATATAGTTATGAAACCGTGCACTTTTCACCTGGAGTTCTATACTAGGAAGATAAAGGGTAATGCTCTCAGCGATGATCAATCGTTAAGGGATGCGCGATTCTTTCGACTTCATCAAGCATCGCCAAATGACTGAAT